CAGCTTTGTGACACTTTTGCAAGTTATAAGAGGGTGTGCAACATTAAATCCACAAAATACCTTGGTGCTTGACTCCAAGTTCATGAAGCAAAACATAATGCCGACATGTCCAAATGTCGCAAGAGGGAGCTTTCACAGGTGTAGAGGGCATGAGGAAGACCAATCAACATGTAGCTCAACTGTGACCACACTACCCGTACATGGCACATCTGCAAGAGGCTCAAACACTCGAAATCAAGCCTTCAAGAGTGATGCCAAGCTAGCAAGAACTCAATTACAAGGGTCCCCCAGATGCGGCATTTGCAAGCAACACTTGCATACCACCAGTGGCATTGCAGTGGCATGTGACAATGCATGGGCTGGCTGGCCACATTGAGGAGCTCCAACAATAGCATGTCCTGGTATAAAATTGCCATGCAATTGTGGACTGTTCGCGACGCCGCATAATGACCACCGTTTCACTGGGTGGATCACTTATGCTTGATGGCTTGCGACTAGTGTGCATGTCAAAACGTGAATCGCTGCTTGAGATTGAAAGAAAAAAAGACTGTGGTTGCAGAAAAATGGTGCTATGAAACTTGCAAAGGTTACTCCCACCAAGATGTTACTTTCCTTGGAGGGGCACACAGGATGTCTCTTTCCCTGGTGCAGCATTGAGCTTCTAGCCCATGCATACTCCTTTGCTTGAAGATTGGCGCATGTTTTATGAAAAGTCGGATTGGCCATTTCTGTGAGTGAATTCTGGTTTTGAATTTGGTTCTTGAGGTAGTTTTCGATCACACTCATGTTTGTTGAGGACAACATGAGCTTGATGAAAGAATGTTCTGCAATTCACATAGAGATGCCTTGGTCATAGTGTCTTGTCCGCAAGATGCAAGGGTGTGTTGTGGGGAAGTTTCGGATGTGTGTTTCCCGAAGCTTTACAGCATTGTGACCGCCTTCTACTTTCACTTTGGCTTGCAAGATTTGTTGTACTTGCACTTTGCAGTGGGGGCGTTTGGAAATGACCATATGCGGCACCTGAGTAGTCAGAATCATGTTGTTTTGAATTCTGAGTGAAAGGGAAGCTGTGGCATGTTTCAGATGTGGGCTGCATCATAGTGAAGAGGTGGCATCGGGGTTGAATTGTCTTATGGGCATTTGTGATTATGACAATCCTTAGAGGTCGAAAATGGGACATTGTATCAGATGATGGAAATTCGCATGAACGTGGCTGATCATTTTAAGCGCACCCCAGCCTGTTGGGGGCGCAGCAACCTGTGCTGTGAACCACGCCTTGGACTCCGCGTCGCCTGGCCATGTGAGCGCCGGCGCGTGGGATGGCGACCCCTCCAATCGCCTAGCTATGCCCGCTTCTCTGGCTTACTTCGAAGAGGACAGGCCCATCGTGCTATGCATGATGGTGCGGTTCCTTTAACATGGTTTCGGAGCCAAGGTGAAGGCATGGGCCTGGCGACGGGGCGGTTCTGTGGCGGCGCCTTCAAGCGGCGTTGACCAAGGTCAACGGTGCTCCCACCAAGGCTGGCGATGGGGCAGAACTGTCGAGGGGGCGCGCCACCCATCGATGTCAAGGAGCGCCGCCATGAAGATGGACATCTGTTGAGGGCTGGGTGCTATCCAGTTTGACTGGCGTTGAGGCGGCAGCGGCGCCGTTGCGTGAGTTTTGCGCCGGCAGCACGGGGCCGAGGAGTTGGCGCCATGCGCGCCATTTCCGGGGAGTGAGGCACATGACCGCCCGCTCCCGTGAGGGCGACTTTCCGGCGGATTTGGCGACGCGCAGCGCAGCCAGCCACACGCACGTGAGGAGAGAAGACGCGCGAGCACTGCGCCGTGGAAATGGAGGCTGTGCGACGTGGCGGAATGGCAGGTAACGGCACTGTGCGCCATGAGTTCGGGGCGCCGCGGGAGTGGCCGTTCCGCGAGGAATGAGCGGCGCGCGACGCCGCGATCAGCGGGGTTTGCGAGCCGTGAGGGCTGCTGTGGTCTGGGCGCCTCGGAGGAGTCGTGGGGAGTCGGGGGAACGTGTTGGAACCGTCGCGAGGAGCAGGTCGGCAGCGGGTCCCCAGTGCAGGGGGCGCGAAGGGGCTGGAATTGGCACCGGGGGAGCCGGGATTGTCACGTGGGTGTCAAAGTGGAGTGTTGCTGTACGATGAGATGTGACAGCCAGGGAATCGGCCAATGGGTGGCTGCAAAGGGGGCAGGTGCCCCTACTTTTCCCCGTGTGGGCCATGCCATGTTGACATGTTGATTGGACCAGGGGTCCTCCGGCGTGCTGGACCGGGGGTTGGCCCCCTGGCATGTTGGCGTATGCCATGTTGACTGGACCAAGGGTCCCTCGGCGTGATGGACCGGGGGGTGACCCCCTGGCAAGTTGGCGTGTGGTGGCTCGACAGGGAATGCACCCAACCTGTCCAAATGCAAATGATTTATGGGCCCACCAAGTTGTACAGTGGAAAGGATCCAAAAATGGCAAAGATTCGGAGTTTTTCGCAGTTGGAAGCGTGGGAGTGCCCATGTTCGCGTCGCCGCATAATGACCACCGTTTCACTGGGTGGATCACTTATGCTTGATGGCTTGCGACTAGTGTGCATGTCAAAACGTGAATCGCTGCTTGAGATTGAAAGAAAAAAAGACTGTGGTTGCAGAAAAATGGTGCTATGAAACTTGCAAAGGTTACTCCCACCAAGATGTTACTTTCCTTGGAGGGGCACACAGGATGTCTCTTTCCCTGGTGCAGCATTGAGCTTCTAGCCTATGCATACTCCTTTGCTTGAAGATTGGCGCATGTTTTATGAAAAGTCGGATTGGCCATTTCTGTGAGTGAATTCTGGCTTTGAATTTGGTTCTTGAGGTAGTTTTCGATCACACTCATGTTTGTTGAGGACAACATGAGCTTGATGAAAGAATGTCCTGCAATTCACATAGAGATGCCTTGGTCATAGTGTCTTGTCCGCAAGATGCAAGGGTGTGTTGTGGGGAAGTTTCGGATGTGTATTTCCCGAAGCTTTACAGCACTGTGACCGCCCTCTACTTTCACTTTGCCTTGCAAGATTTGTTGTACTTGCACTTTGCAGTGGGGGCGTTTGGAAATGACCATATGTGGCACCTGAGTAGTCAGAATCATGTTGTTTTGAATTCTGAGCGAAAGGGAAGCTATGGCATGTTTCAGATGTGGGCTGCATCATAGTGAAGAGGTGGCATCGGGGTTGAATTGTCTTATGGGCATTTGTGATTATGACAATCCTTAGAGGTCGAAAATGGGACATTGTATCAGATGATGGAAATTCGCATGAACGTGGCTGATCATTTTAAGCGCACCCCAGCCTGTTGGGGGCGCAGCAACCTGTGCTGTGAACCACGCCTTGGACTCCGCGTCGCCTGGCCATGTGAGCGCCGGCGCGTGGGATGGCGACCCCTCCAATCGCCTAGCTATGCCCGCTTCTCTGGCTTACTTCGAAGAGGACAGGCCCATCGTGCTATGCATGATGGTGCGGTTCCTTTAACAGGACGCTAACGTGGAGCGAGCTTGCAACCATTGTAGCACATTCGGGGAGGATAGTTTGGCATACTTTGGTTCAGCCCATTGGGCCACATACAATGCCACAACGAAAGCCAATGTTGTCTTGACTAGAGTGAACAAAGGAGCACTTCAAATGGCGAGTGTAAATGCCACCTCGAATGAGGCATTGCATGTCCACTTAGCCATGGCACACTCCTTGTCCAAGCAGCAAGAGGATGATGCTACTAATGTGGCATGGGACCACAACAAGCAGTTGGTGGTGACGGCCAGGTCTAGATAAACAGTGGTGACGAGGCCATGAAGGTGTTGGAAAGGGTTCGCAAAAGAAAGACACCTCAAATCTGGACTCAAGGTATTGAAGAATCGTCACATTGTTTGGGGCCACATCAAGGGACACAAATGGGCACCATATCCTTTTGGAGGAAGATACCAGTGATAGGCAACTTTTCTTGCTATCGCCCATATGTCCGGTGACAAAATCTACAAAGATTGTGAATAAGGCACTGTTACTAGAGATGATTGTCAAGTTGAGGTTAGAGGATCCATATGATTACATCACCTCTTAAGCTAAAGAACAAGACCAGCAGAGCTCAATTGGGCTTATTGAAGTACAGGATATGGCAATTCAGCGATGCACAAAGGAGATCATAACGACGGACGATACTGGATGGTGGGGTATTGGGTTTTAGTCTCCACAAAGAATATGCATCATCAATACCAGGGCATTGTTGCAACAACACATAGAAACTTTCAAATAGCTGTTAGATACACACACATTGCTTATGCATTGGCTGACCCTGATATTTGGAGGTGCCACAATGTCTCTTATGTAGCACTGCTGAAGCCATTCAAGAGTGGGGTGTTTGAAATTGCACGAGGAGCGGCCAATGTCAATGATGACAATAATGTGCCACATTCCGACGTGGGCTGCTAGAGGGGCTGGTAGAGAACAAAGATCCTAACATCAAGAAACTGATTTGCTGGAGGAAGGTCAAGCAAGTCCACACTCAGTCCTCGGTGGTCCAGAGTGATCTATCATCTGGTAAAAGAGCATCACATATGCATCCATGGAATCAACGTCGCAAATTCTGATTGTTCAATTAAAGCCAAGCTGGAGCTTGCTTCCATGGTACCAATACAGCTGCTTCATACCTAAATATTCACAGCCCTCATGATGACAAACACAGGCCCATCGGCATTTATCTCCACTTACATTGTGGAGTGTAATGAAGTGTACAATAAAAATATTTAGAGTGGGTTTCCACCCTCTCCGAGAGCAGAGCGGACCATACACCGATAGCCTGCAATGGAACAACTTGTATCTCTGCCTCCATTTTCATAATAGGGCCTCAAATTTTGATGTTGTCACGCTTGCCATTTCTCCTTGTTTTCGCTTGTCTCCGACATCAACTCGGCGGCTGCGTTGTATTGCAATCTTCTGGTATCATTGTGGAAGGCCAATGCCAGCCTGGAGGCACCTCTACCAGATGTCTTTGGTCACCTTGCACAATTCGCCCAATGGACTCAAAGAAGAAAAAAAGGAAATAATTCCAATAGCTGTGGTCACCAACCAAAATCGTTTCCTTTCATGTTGAATCATTTCTGGTAAAATGGGCAGTCCCAACAAATTGCATGCACAGTGGCAAAGCACACAGGCAGGCAAACTCTTGGTGTGCAGTAGCACAAAGACAGCATACCAGCCAAAAGCTGTGGTGTACAGTACTTGGAAAAGTACCTGAGGAACACAACGAAAATAGGTAAGGACAACTGACAGCACACCTGGGATGAAGCCAAATCCACAAGTTTAGATTCATAATCCATACATTTGGAACGATTCTTTCAGAACATCGATTGTTTGGCACACAAAGTCCAACATCTCATCTGCCACAACATTCACCACATCAACCTAACCTATCCTGTTGCCATTAGGTGAGACATGTCAAAATACCATTTCCAGGGCTACAAAGAGTTACACAATGGCGACTTCATCATGTATCACACGAAACTAGTGATTGAACTCAGGCACCCTGATTTCAAGCAAAAATGTGCCTAAGCTACCTAGTTATCCAAATATGGAATGGGATTACTTGGCCCTAAAAACATAGGATGAGTCTGTTCTCAGTATCCTGCAGGTTAGATCCTAGCTGTCTGCAATTGGCACAATTTTGGCAACCGGCCCAGAGTTCCTGCAGTAATACTCAGACGTGCCCCCAAGGTCCCACCCACAGTGTGATACAGTGCGTTTGTGGCCACAGCCTATCCAGGCTATGCTTGCGCAGCGGCATATGCATGCTACTGTTTGCTTCGCTGGGCAGCATACAGCACGTGCAGGGGAAAAAAACCCACAAGAATGTGGGTCTTCCCAAGTGAGAATGGGCTGCGATGCAGATCGCAGACTATGCCTTGGGAGAAGTGTAAAAGTTCAGAGCTATTAAACCACTCCAGAGAATGCAAGCGTCTTGTTGCGAAGTTGGTGTGTGGATCGAATGGGGGATCTATCGCTACAGTTCAACATTCTGATGTGATTGGAGGAGCATGGCTACCACTGCCTAGAGTGCAGAGTGTTCTTTTATGTTATTGTACACTAGGGATGAAAATTCCAGGCACAACATACACAGCGGACAATTGTCAACTCAACATGGGCAACATGCAACATTTCCAGGTGTGGACCACTGACTTGTGCTTCATGTTAAGCAAGGTAGCTTTTGCAGAAGTATCCTTGCAGGCCCATAGATATCCTCACCTCCAGTACAGCCTCCACCACAGTGTAGCTCTGATGCAGAACCAACTGGTAGATATGATGAATGTGAGCAACACCAAAAAATAAAGGAGCTGCAAAAGTTGTTTGCCCATCTTCCCATCCCTGCATGTGTGGTCAAAAGACGAATCAGCGAGCAATAACTACCAGACATGCACATGGTTGTTGAAGTCGCAGGATCCTACGCTGCCAAACAATGGGGGGTCTTCCTGCCGTAAATACAAGAACAGATGCCAAAACAGATACAAAAGAGATACCTGCAGCAGCTGCACATCCAAGACGATGGGCACAAAAGTGCTGAATGAATAGGTGTACCAGTTGCTGCTCAGCTTTGCCAAGAACGTTGACCCATAAGGCAAGGAAAGACACCTGCCTCTGTACCTGCTCACTGTCTCCCAACGGACAATGGCATGAATGCATCCAGAGCACCCAAGTTTCAGCGTCTAACGCACCTCCAATTTAAGCATGCCCACCATGCATCCCCTGAAAACCCATTCTTCAGTGATAGGCGCGATGAGCAGGTTGCGTAGACGTACAGGTAGCGCCAGTCGCCCAGGGTTGGGAGCGCCCTCATTCCCTTCCAAAATCCAGAACATAATCGGCCCAGCGTAGGCGGTCGCAAGCAGAACCAGGGGGAACACAAGAGATCCGCACCATCCCGTCGCGGCGCCCAGTCCCAGGAGGGACAGAACTGTCGATAGAGAAGCGTCCTCCTGTGGGGAAACCAACAGCCCCGGGCGTCAACTTCATGCCATATGGACCACGGCGATCGACGACGCGATTAGCGGCAAATTATAGCCTGCCCAAGGGAAACGGCACCCGAGAAGCTCGATTCGGCAGTGTCTGGGCGCACAGGGCCCCAACACGTTCAGAGAAAACGCCAAACTGCGGCATGATCGTGAACAGAAGTCGGCAAGTGCGCTGTTTGCTCATTCCCATGTCGCAAAAGGCCCTTTTGAGGCTTTTTTGCAAAGCATGGCCTGGACGTATGGTTGTGCTGCTCGCCTGTTTCTGCTTGACCATGGCGTACAGAGGAATCCAGGAGACAAAACAAACCGCGACGCAGCTCCCCATCCTCAACCAAACCATTCGGGGTTGATCCCTAGGCTGCCACAGGCTCAGCAGGCCCACATACAAACAGGCCAACAGAAGGCACCCGAGGACGGCAGCCATGGTGTTGGTGCCGCAGACCAGGACCCCCCTTCGGTGCAGTGTTTTCCAATCACAACGGGTTGAGTCTTCACTTCAGCCTCGCTGCTTTTTTGTGGGGGTGGGTGGGCAAAGGTGAATATTTCTTTTTGCGACAGTGGACTATTCTCTTTTGCGACAGTGCCAAACTACTCTTTTTTGCGACAGTGGATTGTTCTTTTTTGCGACAGTGAATATGACTAATGCACAGCTTGGGAAGGCGGCGGGCCTTCGAACCAGCTCGCCTACCCGCCCCCAGCCCCCCTCCACCGTCACTTGCCACCGGCCGCTAGCAGCCGCCATCGCTCTTGTTCGCCGCCCGAGGGACCGTTTCCTGCTCCCTCGAACTTCACGAGTCAACGCTGTGCTTGTTTGGGGTCTGGGTGACTCACAGGGCCGGGCGGCACCAAATGAGCACTAGGGTTGCACCAATCGCTGAAATGGCTCCAGTGGTAGCCCGCCACAGGTCGTGGCTCACAGGGCATGCTCCCACCCGGCAGCGAAACCTGGTCGTGTGACCAGTCAACGGCGCTGGGGCATGGGCGCCTTGATGGTCGATGCTTGGACGGCAATGGCGCTGGCAACCAGCGCCTTGGCCTCCCCGTCCGGCGTCACGAGCAACACTCCCCGGTCTCAGTTCGTGGCGCCGTCTCCCCGCGCGGCCAAGTGGCCGCATTTCAGGGGGCTAGCACGGCAAAAATAGATCTGGGGAGGAAACGGGGGGCTGCAACCTCAGCTGAATCTCAGCGCCAAGGTGATCGCCGAGTGGTAGCCGCAGCCCCCTTCCGCAAGGTGGGGACCCTGGGCGTCCCCAAACGTTCCCGCTTTGCCTTTTAGTCCTTTCTCCGAACAGACACGCCTTCAGCGCCGTTGTGAGAGGAGGCCCAGTGGACCGTGCAAGGGTGGTGTGGCAAATCTGATGCCAACATCTCGCGCATCAATTATCGCCACTGTCGCAAAAAAGAGTAGTTTGGCACTGTCGCAGAAAAGAACAATCCACTGTCGCAAAAAAAAATAGTAACCATGGGCAAATGGTGTTCATTTGCACAACAAATTCTTGGGGACAACACATCCACTTGGAAAAAGGGAATCGCAATTCAAAACGTTGTCTTCCAATAAAATGACAAGGCACCATTTTGAATTTGGTACGCTTACTGTCAAATAAGCAATAACCCCCACCCCCACCCCTCTTCTTGTGCTCAGCCCTCCCCCTCCGGAGGCTCTATATTATTGTGGTAATGTTGTACAGGCTCGGACCACCGCGCGCACTGTGCACGCAGATTCCTCTGATTAACCCGGTGTTTTTGGCAGTCGGGTCTGTGGGGGAGCACAGGCGCCTATGTACTGTGTGCCGGTGCCATGAAAATAGCCTTTTTTTCGGCCTTGTAACTCCACGCGCTGCGTAAAGCACAGTCAGCTCAATATCACTTCCTGCCCGTGCGCTCATAGGGTGTACGGCAGGCGTGCATCGCGCTAATTGGAGGAGCCAGGCACCGTGCCCCGAGGCAACGCGCCAGGCCGGCGGGCACCAGTACACTGCTGCCTGCGCGAGGCACAAGCGGGTGGCAAGGGTGGCGTCCACGCACATGAGTGTGGTGCTTCCCGGGCGCTCGGTCCCATCACTCACACCTTGGAGGAAGCTTCTTGATTGGCAGTGGGGGCCAGCAGGAGCGATTGCACAAGAAGCGCCAATGCTCCCTGCACGCAGTGCTGCTGTGGGTAGCATGGTTGGGAGGCCGCGGGGTGTGGGGGGTGGACTTGGACTGACGCCTCATGGGCGCCCAATCATACCGGCCATGGGGTCCTCGTATGCCCCACGCC